GCTAGAATTCTTCAATACCTACATTTATAAATTAATAAATAATTTAAAGTAAACATTTGTTATGCGCTTTAGCAATAAAAGTGCTGAGTGGGATGCAAATACAGCTTTCTAGCACTTTCAGTAAGTATATAAAAACTAATCAAACTCTGTAGATAAATAGCACAAAGCATGTCTAGAAAAGCACGACCAAGTTCTAACACTTCCTTAAAAAGTCATGGTAGTCTCAAAGATAAGCAAATAAATACAAAGTTGCAAACTGAATTAGACATACTTTTCCACAGAAACTGAACCAATGGGATACATAGAGAGGGAAAAATAGAGAGAAAGAGGTGGGAAAGAGAGAAATTCATATTTATTTATTTGAGGGGATTAGCTCATGGTATTGTAGATGCTAGCAAATAGAAATTCTGTAGGACAGGATAGAAACTTGGGATTTCTATATTACAATATTGCAGAAGAATTTCTTCTTTTTGGGTAACAACAGTATTTGCTCTTAAGGCCTTGGTTGATGAGGCCCACCCACCTAGGGTAATATACTTCACTTAAAGTCAACTTATTATCTATACTAATAAAAGAAAAACATGCAAATTGATAGTCCCTTGCTTTGCACACCAGACAATCAGGAGTGAGTATACAAATTAACCCAACAAAGATGGCAGTTAATTTGCAAATGGGGGCATGGAGCAAAGACTGAAAACAGCCTAGAGGGAAGCCAAGTGCTGCAGAAGGGAGTAAAGCCGCAGAGAATGGAACATGGCAGCAGAGAAGGGAGTGAAGCCCGACTCAGCAGGCTTCACATCCTTCTCTGCTTCCTGTTGCTGCAGGAAGCCCCATTCTTGCAGGAATAGGCCTGAGGAAGCCTTATTCTTGCAGTATCTTCCTGCAACGGGCCTCTAGTAAATGTTAATAAAATCTATAAAATACCTTCACAATATCTCTAATATCTAGACTAGTGTTTGACCAAACAAAATCCAACGACTAGCAAAGTTGAGACATAACATGAACCATCATATAAATCTAATAGGTTTTACTTATCAAGTTACAAGTTTACAAATTTCCTGGTTAAAGCTCAGTGAATGAGTATGAGCTTACATTGCTATTAGCTATAAATTAGTACACACAGAATTTTTTAATCATATATTACAAAGCCTTAAACTGTGAATAATAACAACAGTAATATGCAGATTGACCATCACTCCAACACACAAGATGGCTGCCTCCATGTGGATACAAGATGGCCACCACAAGATGCCCAGCAGGGGAGGGCAGTTGGGAGGGACCAGACCTGCAGTGGAGGGCTATTAGGGGCAAACAGGCTGGCAGGGGAGCAGTTAGGCATTAATCAGGTTGGCAGAGGAGTGGTTAGGGGGTGATCAGGCTGGCAGGCAAAAGTGGTTAGGGGCAATCAGGAAGGCAGGCAGGCAGGCAAGCAGTTTGGAGCCAGAAGTCCTGGATTGTGAGAGGGATCTTATATATAAGAGGGTGCAGGCTGAGCGGAGGGACACCCCCTCCCATGCATGAATTTTGTGCACCAGGCCTCTAGTTTCCATATAATTAATTTCACTTCTAGAAATCTTTGTTGAAGAAATAATGAGAAACTCATTTCCCCTTGTTTAATGTATTAAATGCTTTAGACCTGAGCATCAAACCTTTTTGGGGAGGGGAGGAGAGGGAATGGAGGAAAGGGTGGTAATACCTAGGCTAAAGTAGCCACTGCAGCATGGTGTACATTGGGGGGAAAAAATTAAGCATATAATAGGAACCCTATTTTAAAACCTCCAGTACAAATTTGTGAACTAAAAATAAGAGAGAAAAACACACACAGGGAACTGAATTATTCCTATGTAACCATTCAGCTATTTCAAATTTCAAATGGCATCTCAAGAAATATGATTTGGGGGGTAAAAAGTATGAGTTACCATTTCTACACTTTACATGGTTTTACTTACTAATGAAATCCCCTTTTAGCAGTTAAGTTTTTTAAATAGCATTTCATCATACTAAATTGTCTACAATCCTCTAAATACCCAATGGTAGTCTTGAATGTTCTTCACCAAATAATTCCAGTTGATGTTTATGGGATGTCTTTCTATTAATTTAGGATAATTTTAATTTTTTTCAGCAATGTTTTCTTGTTTTCATTGTATTATATAATGTTACCTCCTTAATTAAATTTATCTCTAGGCGAGTTATTCTTTAAGATGCTATTATAATTTGAATTGTTTTCTTTATTTCCTTCGTTTCCAGGTGTTTGGAAACTGACTTTTGTGTTAATTTTTTAACCTATAACTTCAATGAAATTATTTATTAGCCCTGCTGTTGGCTATATTTAACAAGGCATTATTGTAAAAATGACAAGTTAACACTAAATTCGCAAGAAAAAAGGATAACTCGTGCCCTGACGGGTGTTGCTCAATGGTTAGAATGTCAACTCAAGCTCCAAAGGGTCACAGGTTTGATTTCCAGTCACTGGTATGTACTTGGGTTTCAGGTTCAATCCCCACCCTGGGTCAGGGTACTCAGGAGAAGCAACAATGTGTGTTTCTCACATGGATGTTTCTCTGTCTGTCTGTCTGTCTGTCTCTCTCTCTCTCTCTCCTTCTACCGTTCCTTCTGCTCCTTCCTTTCTCTTTAAAAATCAATGGAAAAAATACTCTCAGGTGAGGATTAACAAAACAACAACAAAAGATGATTCAGAGCAATGAATTACAGATATTAGAAAAAGTTCAGAAAATTGGAGACCTGGAGGGACAGCCATCTCCCCAACTCAATTTTTAAAACAAACAACTGAGAAGGCCTTTGAGGAAAAAGACCAACAAAGTTCAAACTTGCAACAAATATGTAAGCAAAGTTTATGTTAGTCATACTCATTGCTAAAAATTCAATCGTTTAAGGTGTCTCTGATCAAAGAATCAATAAAGCTGGGACTATATATGTTTTCGTTTGTACCAAATGGTTTGAGGGAAAAATATCATTTGGATTTCTTCAAAGCAGGTTTGGTAAATTAAGTTATTTTTAACCAGAAAAAGAGAAACACACAGATAGACAAGAATGAGGAGGAAAGCATGTAAACACATTAAATATAAGAAAGAGGTCTCTGAAAAAATTGTGGGTTTGATTTGCCTTCGATAAATGAAACTGATTGTAATCAAACAGATAAGAAGCTAAAAGAATCATTGTGACTAGTTACTACTTAAAATGACCATGGCTCCCAATTTTCCATAGGCAGAAAGCATGCTAAAAAATGGTATAATCACAAATACTATATTAAATATAGCCATCAAAGATACTAGAAAACTTAAAACCTACAAGAGCATAAAATACAATAGATTAGAGACCCTGCCCTAAACCCTAAAAAGAAAATCATGGCCCCCATTCCAAAGATTCTTATTTAATCTGTTCATTGAAATGTTAATAGCTATGCATCTTTGATTCTCAGTATTTGCTACTGAGATTGGTTAAATACCTTACCTTTGTCTCACCACTCTATACTAGATTTGTTGTAGGCAAACAACATATATTTTGGTTTCTAGTTCTTCAGGTTAAAAAAAAACAACCTACATATCTGGACAAGATAATATGGAAACTGCAGCACATCATTCCTGGACTTTTCAGCTTGAGGCATTAGCTGGATAGAAATTTCATATTTTCACCCACAGGAATAAGATAAGCAAATTTGCCTGTGAGATGGAAACTGAATATTTGGTGACCAAAAGAGCAGACTGTGGTATATTAGTGCTGTTTATCATATACTTCCTGCTCTCTCCCTTCCAGTGCATGGAAGGATTTCGCTACCTGGCCCCATTATGATTGTGAAATAAGTTGGGAATAAAAGTATCACTTCCAGTGCAGAACACTGAATTACTGGTAGTAAATCTGGCTGTGCTTGTTTTCAGTTTGCAACAATAATAGGTAATGTTTTACATAGGAAGGATACTATAAAGGCTATATCCTAGGGTTAGGACAACATAAGACCAAGCCCCAAGATAATCCTCAGTATGTGTGGCATGAATAGGGTATAAATCTCATTATCTGAAGCCAGAGAGTTTAGGGCATAACCTAGTCTATCCTGGCTAATACATACCTTATGCTATTTTACAAATCTATGATCTTAATTTTTCTCTGAGTTTTCTGTTATATTATGAAGTTATATAAACTTCATTCCTGAGACAACCTAGCATTTCACCATCCAAAAGAATACAACTATTAGATCAAATTTATAAAATTCCCTGTGTATTTCCTTTTCCAAACCATTTATTAAAATGACAATGAATAATATTTAACAGAACTGACCTCTACCTTGGGGATGCAGTGGCATATTTATAAATCTCCATTTAAATTTTATACCTAATTCTGTTTTCCTAATTCTTAGTATATTTTCTTTCCATGATACAAAATAGGTCCTTTAAATAAAGTTTATTTTATTTTTCACCTACCAAGCTTATTCAGAAGTGTTGTTGAGAATTTCTTGCATTATTATTATATTATGATACATCCATTAATGCTTAATTGATTAATATAAATCAGCTAATACAGTCTTTAATGCCCTCTAAGACATTACATCAAGGAAAGAAAAAAAGTTAATGGAAAAATCCAAATAGGAAAAAATTCCTTTATGCAATGAAAGGTAACTCAAGCATAAATACTCTTAAAAATGCACATATTTATAAATCTTATACTACTAAAAATCATTACATATGCCATAACACATTTATAATCAGCTATTTGCTTCTGTTATTTTATAAATAATAGTATGACCCAGAAAGTAACATAAGAATTGTCATTAATTTGAGGAAGTCCCATATAATTTAGTCCTTTAGCCCTATTTTTAGTCCATCATAAAATTCCCTAACTTTAATACTGAGTATACATAAGCATATTCTTTTGCTCCAAAATATACCATCGAAAGTAAATGGATCAAAATTGAATAGTTATAAAGCTCTCAGAGAGGAGAGGCAGAAGAAACGTATAAATATATAATGGACGTGCAATTTTATTACCTGAGTATTCAACAACTCCTCACACTTGTGTGCTTGTTTCTCAATTGCAGAAATGTACTGTTTTTCAATCGCTTCTACTTGTTGCTTAACTGAAGACTGTAGCAGTGCCTAAAAATAAACAAAAAAAGTAATTTGGATCACAAACAAAACTTGGAGTCTACTGTTGGCATTTTTTTGACAGTTGCATATATCTGAAATATGATCCACTTCTGCATTAGAAAATACACATTTGTGAATATTGAAGCACAATCATATATAACTCTACTTTAAGCTTTTGGGTTTAAGTTTTCCTATTACCAAGACTACAGTTTTTTAGCCAGATGTTCCTTCAACACACCTCTCCTTAAAAAGGCCAAGTTCTAGAAGATGATAAAGAGAGTGAGTAGTTCTGCTAAATATAAATTCAGTTTAGTGAAGACCACACAGGATGAGGAGCGTATGAAAGCTGCTGAAAAAAGAAGAAGAAAAAAAAGAAACCCCAGGCATATTTCACTGGCTGACAAAACTCTACATCCTCTCGGCACACTGTACCATCCCATGGGCCAAGCATGATCTTCAAGACCACAAGTCAAGTAAAAGCAGATGGAAAGTCTGAACAATTTCAAACATAAAACAACTGCCCCCCAGGAAGTTTACATCCCTAATGTGAAAAGATATAAGTCAACGTGTGGAAGTCAGTCAGAATGACAGGACAGTTTTCATAAGAAGTAATAAAACCTGGGAAACTGGATAAACTTAAGTGGGTAGTGTAAATGTTGGAACCTCAATCAAAGACCTTAATGCTGTTCTAAGGAAAGCAAAATCAGCATTTGAAGATGTTCCATCCACTCACTTCCTTATTGGAGATGCTTAGAATATTATCATCTTTTTTCCCTTCCTTTTTTTTAAAGCATTATATTTTATACTTAACATGTTTCCTATATTATCTTACATGCTATTTATAAACCCCAAATCATTTTAAAATATGCATTCAACGATATACGTAAGAACTCTTAAACAAATATTCTATTTTTGAAGGTCTATCTGGATAATAAACTACTCAATCAAAATAGTAAGTTGAAACAGACACACGTCTTATAAAAAACAGACGTTTGGCACATTTGCCAAAAAAATAAGCCAAATATCTTAAATAATCTCTGTTATGAAAATAGATAAACGTGGTTGGAAACAACATGCATTAAGAAGCTAAATAAATATGCATGCATTTAAATAACATTAAGATAAAATACTTTTTGAACCTCTGGATAAGCCTCAAATGTTCAGATAATTAACTTCCTCTTGCAAATGTTAGACTGTCTGATGATGCTACCACTCATATAATTCAATAGTCACCACTCTGAAGCGGCAGAATTAGTAGTAAATTTAGTAAAGGAAATAGAGCTCTGACTGAGGTTTAATCAAAATACAGAAAACTGCTGCCCTAGCCAGTTTGGCACAGTTGGATGGTCCTGGGGGATCCATTCCGGTCAAGGGCACATACCTTAATTGCAAGCTAAATCCCTGGGCCTTGGTTGGGCTGGTTGTGGTAGACAACCAATTGATATGTCTCTCTCACATCAATGTTTCTCTCTCGATTTCTACCTCTCCCTGCCACTCTCTCTAAAAATCATTTGGGGGGAAAAATATATCCTGAGTGAGGATGAACAACTATATATATCCTAGAAGCCCAATGAATGAAATTTAGGCAAGAGTAGGCCTTCCTTTCCCCAGCTGCCAACACTGGCTTCCCTCTGGCACCCAGGACCTGGGCTTCCCTCACAGTCCTGGCTTGTCCAAAAGGACATCTGGTCCAATTAATATATATATATATTAATATATTAATAACTGCTTTACCCTTTTAGTATATGCACTCTAAAGATTCCATAATAATTAATTTATTTAAGGCACCAAAATGTAACCTCTTCAGCTGTGACTAAGAAATGCAAAGCTCTAATTTACCTAAGGTAAAATATAATAGACTATCTGTTGGACTTCAGAATATTTAAAAAACAGTATAGAGACAATTTCCTTCAGTATGGTCACTGCATCTTTTATAGAGAGAAAAATGCCAATCTTTTTGTGGACTTGGGATATGAGAATTGTTTTAGCTTAATGGTAAAAACTTCCCTATTTGATATGGTTCCAAATACTACCACAGTTTAAATACACAACTGTAATTTTTAGTAGATTATATGCTTTGGAGATACAGGTAAGTTCATGAAATAAAATATTTTCTCACTGTATTTAAGAAACAAAATTGAATAGTATATTTTTTTCCCTCTAGTGATTGATGTATACACTATATATTCATTTTCTTCCAAACTTAAAAGAGGCAAGCAATGGGACCCCTTTCATATCCCGCGTGGTTCAGGGTTCCGGTACAGGGTTTGGTTTCTGGAGAAGGGTCTCACAAAAATTAAACAGAGACTAGAAGAAATTTAATTTGGCGCTATGAGGAGCCAGGGGGAGCCTACCTCCAGTGGGAGAACTGTCACTAGATTCCAGCCTTGCCATCCTTTTTATAGAGACTATGGGATACACTCATTACCCTTAAGCAGGTTTGGGATACACCCATAGCCCTTAGGCAAGTATTGAGTAGATTATCATTCAGTAAGGATTTAATGATTACAAAATGGGGAAGTTGCCTCAGTTACCTTTGTCTCAATTACACAGGGAGTGATTGGCTCTGACCTTTCAGAGCTTCAAGGCTGACCAGCCTTTTACATCTTTCTATTAGTGAGATAATGTTTGGTTTCTGGCAGCAAGCACTATTGGATAACAAGTCAAGTAAGAGCCAAAACTGTGGTTTATGGACCATGGAGAAAAGCTATGCACAAATAACCAGCCTTTCCTATAGTTCAAACCTCTTGTCTTAGTCCATTATTTAAATCTACCTATATGCAAGAGACATAAAGGTAAGTCCTGGGAACATGAATATTAAAAAAAAAAAAAGTCTGTTCTTACTGAATTATTTCTATAGTTAAAGAGAAACAATCTCTAAATAACACACAAGATAGGTATATGCAAGGTGTGTATCAGAGAAAGAGAAAGAAAATATGCACAAAGCCTGTTTTATAAAGCTCATGCTACACACTGAGAACATTAAACAGATAAGATTAGCTTGACTAAGAGTGGAGGCATATACTAGTAGTAATGCAAGAAGGAAGAAAGGGGCAGGTATCAGTTATTAACAAAGCTTGTGTGCCACAACAAGGTCACTTAAAAACGTGTCCTATATTACTGAATAGTGGGATTATTAGTGCAATACTCTAAAAACTGTCCTCACAACTAGAATATTAACCATTTTGGAAATACATGTACAAATCGACTAGCAAGCTGCTTTTATGGCTTGAGATATCCTATATAATAAAAGGCTAATATGCAAATTGACCGAATGGCAATACAACTGGAACAACCAAACAACTGGTCGCTATGATGTGCGCTGACCACCAGGAGCATGTGAGGAACAGGGCGGATGTTGGCCACAGTGGGATGGTGGAGCAGGTGAGCGGGAGTGCCAGACCAAGACGGGGCACCAGTCCCTGTCATGGGGGCAAGGGCAAGTCTCTGGTGGTTACTGAAAATTCCTTGCTCCTGCACGCCACTGTCCCACCCAGCGCTTACACCCACTGTTGGCCCAGCCCTGCTCAGACCCGGCACTAGAGCCACCACTCATACATGCTGCTGACACCAAGTGCTGGCCATGATCACTCAGCACGATCACAGGGTATGAGGGATAGGCAATCGGGTCAGCAGCCACAGCTCGCACTCACTTTGGGGCCAGCCCCACTCACACCTGCTGCTGACACCAGCCCCAAGCACTCCACACCGTCAGTGGGTGCGAATGGGTCTGGTCCTGTCAGCACGTGGGAGCAGCAGCAGTGAGAGCAGAGCTGCCAGCAGAGAGGGAACCAGGGGCCACGGCAGTAGGAGCCAGGCAGGGGCACAGAGGATGAGTTGAGACCCACCCTTGTGCCCATTACAGCTTTGAGGCCCACAGTTCCTTTCAAGGTGTCCAAATTAGTGCCTTGGGCCCCTAGTCATATAATTGGATATTTATTTTCCAATGTAATAAACCATAATAATCAATTTAAAATGTCTTATATATTTAAATATAAATGTTAACCTTAACATTTTATTGCAATTTACTAATTTTTTATCTGTAATTTCTCTACAGATATCAAACACATAAGAAAGCTTTTCCGTGGGCTTATACAAGAATATAGAAAGATATATCAAATAATTATTTCCTTTATATGGTATTTTAAAACTATTTTAAACATACATAAATATTAAAATTCACAATGTACAGAACGAGTAAAACAAAGATGTTTTCAAACTTTGTATAATGAAAAAAAAAATGTTACCAAAGGCAGGAAATGTTTTATTAATTTTCAACATATTTAGATTTTAGCCAGAGTTCTTTCAGACTTTTCTGTATCATACCAGAAAATTTAATTTACTAAGGAAACTGAGGAAAGCTATTTAGCATACTTCTTTAACAATAATTTTAAAGCTGTGAACAAGATTGTAGGTTCCTTAAGTATAGAAACTATATATTACTCATCTTTATTTATCACACACAATTTATTGTAGAGTTCCTAGCACATAATTGTATTAGATGACACAATCGCTATTTAGAAATTAATGATTTCTGTAATAAGATTAGTATTGTTTAAAAATCATAATATGAATGGTACCAATATTCATTGAAAAGTTCACTAAGCTTCAAATTATAACTGCCAAGTTCAGTTACCAAATTTGTTGCTGAGTATATTTAATCCCTACCAAGGATTTCAACATTTTATGTTGTTATTTTAGACTAGAAATGTCCACTCTTTCTACTCTACAGGATAAATTTTGAGTAAATAGAGTGTATGAAGGACTACAAACTCTTTGGAAGGGAAAATATGTCATAAGTTCTACAATTATTAGATTCATAGAAAACAGATATTAGGTCAACCACCACCCAAAACCAATACATGCTGGAACTTAAATGAGAAGTGGAGCCACAGCAACCCAAACTATACCCCGATGTCCCAACAAGTAGTTTTTTTCTTGACCTTGAGAGTATCATGCTAAGGGAAGTCTGTCAGGTGGAAAATAATAAGAACCATATTTTTTATTCA